GCCCGGAATAGACACGCGCTCGCCTCGCCCCCTGGGCCGGCGGCCCGCGTCCAGGGTCCCGCACACGCCCGCGCATCGCCCCGGCTCCACACGCCCTCCGCGACCCTGCGCTGGGCTTTAATGGGCTTAAAAGACCCACTTCCAGGTCCACTCGGTGGCGTTCCGGGCGGAGGCTGGGTGCAGGTCTGAGCGCCCTCAGGCAGGGACTGTGTGTGTGTGTGTGTGTGTGTGTGTGTGTGTGTGTGTGTGTTGCCTCTCTGACCTCTCAGTCCACTCTAGCGCAGATTTCAGAGACTATGCAGTGCTTTTCTCCAGTGGACTCCCCCCTTTCCCTGAAGCTGTCGCCCATTTCCTGGGTTCGGTTTGGCCTCCACATCTGACACCTTTTAGTGTCATATAATGGGCCAGGGACAAGGCTGGTACAGTGTCAGTAGTGGTGCAAGAGAGGTAGAGTGAGATAATAAATAGCAAAGATCTTCAAAAAGAAAACCACGGAGAAACAGGGTTGCTGGAAGACGGGCAACGGCTTGGGAACACTTTCAACTTTGAAAGTGCTTCTGTACTAAAAAGTAAGGAAATGCCAAAACAGTGATAAATGTGGGTGACACGAACAGTTTAAGTATACATTATAAAACGACATATCCGTGCGCACCTCTCAGGATAATCGTAGGATATGTCCAGTAAAGGAGTTTAAAAGTCATGTGTAAAATGTCAACTCCTTTGTCTTAATCGTGAAACTGAAAAGCGGTCAACTCCTTTATAGACATCATCTATAAATGCCTGAACTGAAGACCTTTACTAAGTAAAACTCGGCCCCAGCTTTCTTCCGGGTTACCCGTCCTCACAGCAGGGGCCAGGCCAGCGCTCCTGCTACTTTACTTAAAACATGCTGGTCTTGGGAGCTCTGCAAAGGCACAGAGGCAAGAAGTGGCCCGGGGAAAGAGCATCTTTGCTTTCTGGTACAGGGAATAAGTTCTCCATTATTTTTATGGGCAAGTTGAAGTTAGTATTGTCTTTGCAAAGTAACACCATAGTTTAATATGTTTGTGTGTGAGCTCTCAGAGGAAAACATGGTAGAGTGAAAAAACGATGGGGTTAGTTAGAGTCTGAAGATGAGTGTGTGTGAGCTCTGGCTCTCCTATCCCGTCAGCCATGAATACAGCTTCCCGTCTGTGGGCCAGCCTGGTCATTTGCACTATGGGGAACCTTACACTGACCTCAGGGGGCTGTTGGCTTGGCAAATGAAATGATGATACAAACCCACTTTATAAACCATAAATAGACATACAAATGTAAGCCAGTATTATTTTCTGAGTTCTTCTTTGTTCCTGCCCACTTTTCCAATTTGAAAAGGTCATTGAAAATTCTAAAGCAGCTAATCAACAATGTAAAAGTGGAGTAAGTTCCCAAAGTTCACGGTTTGAAAGCTGAAACACTTGGAAATTAGACTATACGTTGTAGTCAAGTTCCCAGGCTGGCCCACAAATTCTTTTTTGGCACCGAGAATTGAACTCACAACCTTGAACTCTTTTTAAAATACATTTCATTTGAAATATTTTTTTTTTTTTTTTCCGGTACTGGGAATTGAACTCACAACCTCGTGCTTGCCAGGCAGGTGCTGTGCCGCTGAGCTAAATCCCCAGCCCCATCATTTGAAATAATTTTTAAACAGTATGAAACATCTCTATTGCAAAAACAGATGGAAGCCCCCGGGCATGGTGGTGTACACCTGTAATCCCAGCACTGGGAAGGTTGAGGCAGGAAGATCGCTATAAATTTAAGGCTAGCCTGGGCTACATAGTGAGTTCAAGGCCAGCCTGAACTACATAGTGAGACTCTCTCTCCAAAGCAAAAACAGAACAGATGGAAGCTCTTGAAATTTGTAGAGAACTTTCAAGGACTTTGGAAATGTATTCAGAGCATTGGAACAGAAAAAAAAAAAAACTAAGGAGAATTTACATATGTCCATGGAGTAATTTATCTGGGTGAACTCAAATGAGCTGTGGTCTGGAAGAGATATAAAAATGACAGAGCACAGTCTGTGGCACTGTTTGGAAGATTAACAAAAATGTGTTGGAAGAACATTAGTTCTGGCTTCGATAATTAACCATGATGTCCAATAGGTGGCACTGTTGACTAATTTGACTACAGCTTGGTTGCTCTGGGTAACCGCGTGAGATAGATGGAAGAGCTGTTTGTGGGTTGAAATATAGGAATAGGTATGCATTTTTCTATACTTTTCTTTTATTACAGCCTATATTCACCATAAAAGCCAGCTGTCCTCGCAATCCATTAGCTCATTTAGGCAAAATTGATTGTGCTGTGTGCAAGTTCCTAGTGAGAGAAGAAGGCTAAGCAGAAATGATCCCCATCCTTGAGGAATCTACAATCCAGTCGAGGAGAATATGTATAGAATAATTTTCACACAGATTATCATGTGAAAAGTACTAGAGGAGAGACCAAACGCTCTTTGAGTCCGTCAAGACAAAGCAAGAATATCTGACCAATCATGGAGCTAGCAACGGATGACAGAAATTGGGCCAAGTGTTAGCTGAGCTGCAGAGGATTTGAACATGCTGTGATGAGATAACATTACAGGTAAAGAAAACATTGAGAGCAAGATGTGGCGATAGAAAACGGCAGGATGTGTCTGCAGAGCAGTTTGAATTGACCAGATCACGGGCTATCAGGTGCTAAGTATTAAGACAGCGTAGGAAGGAAGTTGCTGTCTGATTTTCTCTTCCTCTTTTTGTTTCTTTGGGTGCGTACTGGCAAGGATTTTTAGGATCTGCCTCATATCTTCCTTTTCTTTCTTGCTCATTGCAGTTTTCCAGGTTTGCCTGGTACTTGTCTAAAGAATTGTGGGGAAATGTAGAGAGGTCCAGCTCTGTAAAAAGATAGCAAATTTGGCCTCCGTAAACAATGCCAGGAAGAAAGCTTTTGACTTCCTCCTGCTCCCAGGCTTGTGGAAAAAAAAAAAGTTACTCCCCAGTCTCATTCTTAGCTTATCATGTGGAACTGGGAAACTCTGAGAAAGAAACATTTGGAGGCTAAGAGCTCTTTGTCCCTGGGAAACGTACTCCTTCCTCCCCTCTAACCCGTCACTATATCCAGGGTCTGCGACCACCATGGCCACCAGATGACCACTCCATGACCCTAATCAGACTATGTCACTTCCCCCTTAGAAACACTGTATGGCTCCTTTTGTCCCTCAGCAGAGTCCACACTCTTTATGGTTTTCCAGGTGCTGTTTTCACTGAGCCTGCGTGGTCTCGGGAGACTGGGAAAAGTAAGAAAAATGAGGTACAGTATTGGGTTCAGCTTTGGGTCTTGAGTTACCTCTATTGTCACTCATGAATCTCAGTTTTCCTGTTGTGCCATCAGCATATACTTTCCTACATATTTCCCCATTTCTGGCCCTGGACACTGTGAGGGTGGGTCTATGTCTTACTCAGTGCTAGATACCCACAGCCCGGCCCAGCACCCGGCATCTAGGAAGTGGTAATAAAATATTTGTGAAGTGAGTCAGTAAGTGCTTGAGGACCTGAGAGGCATATCATGGGCTCCTATTTATTTTCTGGGATCATTTTATCAGCTTATTTCTTTGCAGAGGGAGATAAGATTGAACTGAGGTGGTCTTTGAGAACGGCCCCTGTGCTTTCCAGCCCCATGGGTGCTGCTGTGGCCACGTAGCTCCCCCTTGGCTCAGGGCCCTTCTCCCATGCTTCTCTGTGCAGGGTGAGCCCCAGAGCCCCTCGCTCGGGTGTCTGCCCAGTGCTGGCTGCAAGATGAAAACCTCTCTTGTTTCAGTCAGCACAATGTTGCCATTATAGCCCCAGTCCAGAGAAATGACACATGCTGCTGGTCCATCCTGTGCCCCAGAAAGCAGATAGAGATCTGAGTGGCTGTTGCTGGGGAAATGAGAGAGTGTCATGGATGGATGAGTGTGCTCCCACCTTAGGACCTTTGGGTTGCTGCTCCAGGTCACAAAGCTCCTGCTGGTATCCCCGGCCGTAGGGCTCTGCTTCCACAGCCAGCAGATGCAAGCGGGCTGGCATGTATGTCTGCAGGAAAAGGATCTTTTTTCTTTGTGGTCAGGTGCCACGTGCAGCCAGTCCCTCCCTTTGGTCCTGCCCCAAGGAAAGAGCACAGGGGCTCCAGGAGCTGGGCACACACACCAAAGGGCTTCAGGGCAGGCAGTGTGTGTGGAAGCAGACCGGGTGTGCTGGGCTGAGGCCAAGCAGAACGCTTGCTCTGCCTGAAGAGCCAGAAACCAGTTAGCTCAGGCCTGGAGTGGCCAGCAGTTCAGAGTTTTCAGGAGGAAGAGCCCAGAAATCCAGATTTTACTTTAAAATCTCTGGAATTAAAAATGTTGGCAACTAATTTCCATTGTTTTAGAACATTGTGAGAAACAACCCTCCTTGTGGGCTTCATCTGGCCTACGGGCCCCTGTGGTGCAAATGTGGGGGAAATTGTGGGCCTGTGAAGGCTTCTGAGTTTCTATCCAGCTGGGGGCCTCTGCCCTGAAGGCCTAAGGTAGCTGCCCTACCCCTGGTACTTCAGGGGACTCACCCTTCTGAAGGGCTGAGACTTCACTCTGAGGCTGTGGGTGATGCTAGCTTGCAAGGTAAAAAGCAAATTTCACACCCCAGAGTTAAAAACTCCTGAGACCCAGCCAGCTTGGCCCCTTGAATTTGTCAGAGAGGGAAACTGAAGCCAATCGAAGGGAAGAGATCTCTCCTGAAATCACACAAGTCCTTAGGGGTGGAACCAGGAACGCGGTGTCCAGGACTGAAGGTCATTTAAGCCACACTGCCCAAGTCCC